GGGCGGACGGAGATCTCGCTCTCGCTCTCGCCCCGCGGGAAGGGGGAGTGGAGGCGCGACCGGCTGCGGGAGCTGCAATTACCGTGTGGGCTGCGGAATTCTCGTGGTGTTTGTCGGGGAGATGCGATAATGGCGTCCGTCCTCGCGAGAGAAGCCGCCGCTCTGCGCAGGCGCCGCGAGCACCTCCCCGCGACCCGCGCCCCACCCTCCGCGCAGCCTCCCAGGGGGTTGGGGCGGGTCTGGGACCTCGGGGGCGGGGCTTGCGCTGGCATCTTCTGCGCGCGCTGGCGCTGGAATGTGCTTGATGAGCATGCGCACGCGTCCCTCTCGCCTGTCATGGTTGGCTCCCTGGAACGCCGACTTCGCGGTCTTACGCCCGGGCTGCTCGCCAGTGCGGGAGAAATCGCTTCAGCAGGCAGTATGAGAAATGTGCATCCTCTCCAGGACCAAGGGAATAGGCTTTGGCTCCCCCGACGACTACACATCCCAGGATGCCCTGCGCCGCTCGCGCGAAGCGACCCGGGACTCGTAGTCCCCGCGTACGCGCCGTGCATGCTGGGACTTGTAGTCCCCCCGGAGTCCGGCCACCGTGTCCCGCGCCCGCACCTGGGGCTGCTGGGACTTGTAGTAACGCGCGCTGGGCTGCGCTGTGCGCCTCGGGGTCCGCCTGAGTTTGGTGCTCGCCCACCTCCTGTGTGGCGGGCGAGTGTGCCGTGCAATGTGAACCCGCGGTGACCGAGTCGCGCTTGCCGGGGTCGCGCCCTCGCTCTCCTCGCGTCCCCGCCCCGCGTGCTGGCGACGGACGAGAGGCCTCGGAGCCCCTGTCGCCCGGAAAACAGGTCCTGGACTCTGCCCGCGGTGCAGAAAGGGCAAAGCTGGGGCCCGATCCAGCCGCCACGGTTAAGCCTCCTACCCAGAATAGCACCCAGGCCCTGCGACCATCCAGGTTCAGGACGCCCTGGGATAATGCTGGGGCCCAGCGATCTCCCCACTGTCCGAACCATAAGCCTCGCAGAAGAACACCGAGCCTTGGCCACTGTTCAGGTTAAGGGCCAAGAATAATACTGAGGCTCAGACACAGGCTGGTCCTGGGCATTTAACAGCAAAAGCACCTTAAAGACCTTCCAAGGAAGGGACCGTGGGTGCTGGACAGACAGTGGTGTTTAAAAGGGACCAGTCCTCTCCAGAGGCCAGGAGGAGGTCAAAGAAAGGAGAGAAATTGCTAAGCAAGATCTCCTGCTGAAAGGGGAAAGGCTGGGTCTAGAATCCGGTGAACTAGAATCCTGTTGCTCAGCATCCATTTTGAATATAAGTTGGACTAACTCATGCAGAAGCAGGGCTCAGTTCCTCAGGCCTTGGGCGGGTTCCTGGGCCTGCAGCCTGCTTGACTGGTCCTGCTGACCCCAGCCCCCTGGACTGTGTGGGCATGCCATAGCCGCCATCTCAGTCACTGCTCACCTGGAGCTGCTGCTGGCTTTTCACCCTCAGGGTGAGGGGGATTGGGTGTTACTTCAAATTGTTGGGAGGTGCAGACTGCAGGCACAAAGCACAGTTACACCCCCCCCCCAAATGTTTTTGTAAAACTTTGTGTCCATGGGAAAAACTAATAATAACAGTCCTGCTAAGAAAGTGTTCACAGTTACCACTTTTGACTGGCCTCAGGTCCCAGGTGTGAACAGGCTCCCACATGGTGTGAACAGTCTGATTGCCTTCTCTTTCTAAAATTATGCTTCATTGTTCTTGGTAAACAAATGCTGGCTTCCTGGTCAGTTATCCTGTTATCAACTATCACCTGGAGCGGCTCTCAGCAGGGATGACTCATGAGGCTCCCTAGGTTCCCTGCCCCAAGCCTCACCTGAAGATGCTAGTGCTGATGTCCTGGAGGTTCAACCAAACCCCTTGCACCAGGTGAGGGGAGAGAGATACAGATAAAAGTATCTCAGTCTGCTCTCCATCCCTCCCATCTCTGAACTCTGTGTTTTCCCCTTGCTGGGCAGAGTCTTGAGAAGGGTCCCCAGCAATGACACACATACTTGGCTACCTTAATAAATCTCCTTGGAGAGAAAATGTCTGTTTCTCCTTAATTTCTGCAAAACTCCCATTGCTCAGGTCACCTGGCAATGCTGTCCTGATTGGCTAAGCCTGAAATATGTCAGAGAATGGGGTCAGCCCACCGCTAAGCCATGTGGACGGGGGAAACTCAGAGGAAGTTAGCAGAGGACAGGGCCTAACTATCGCCGGCATCAGTAGCCTTTGAGCGCATGCCTGAATGCACAGGAACAGCAGTATCCACACTGATGTGTCCATTTGGTGGTCCTTTCCTCCAACAGTCCGTTGACACACCTTCCAGGAGAGGCTGAGTGCTTACAGCAGCACAGGAAGCTCTTCACTCTGGGTTGCTTCCCTGCCGCCCTTCAGTCATGGGACAGACTGCAGTTGAGCCAGCACCTCGGCCAGGCAAGTGACAGCTTGAAGCGCCCTACGTCCTTCAGCATTGCTGCTACAAAGCATCCCTGGGGCATGGATGGCAGAGGGAACAGGTGTGTGGTCTGCAAAGTCAACAGAGGTGTGCACCTAAAATCATGCTAGGAAAAAATCCAGGGGAGAGGAAATGAGCCGGCAAACCCACCAGGAAATGTCCATGTGTCTGGAAAATTTTAATCCAATGCGGGTCTATCCTATTTGTTCTTAACTAGGATGTAACTGCCCTCTGCACTTTGGGATTGTCAGGGGAGCATTCGGTTGCATATAGAAATGGATTTCCATTTCTGTCACATAAAAATAAACACTTCTCTGGGAGCAGTGGTGCACCCAACGTCATTCATCCCAACGGCTCAGGGGGCTGAGGCAGGAGGATGGCAAGTTCAAAGCCAGCCTCAGCAACTTAGTGAGGCTTTAAGCAACTTAGACCCCAAGTAAAAAGCAAAAGGTGCTCCAGATGTGGATGGATGCATGAGGCACTGGGTTCGATCCTCAGCACCACATAAAAATAAAATAAAGATATTGTGTCCACCCAAAACTAAAAAATGAATTTAAAAAAAGAGATTGTATCCATCTAAAAATAAAATATAAAAAAAAATTTAAAAAAAAAAAAAGAATGAACCGCCCCTTGACAAGAGGGATGCAGGGAAATTTAGGGCTGCTGTCGAAGGGTGGGCTCGAAACTTCCCTGGCCACTCAGTTGTTTCCTAGAAAGCCCTCCAGCCTGTGCGTCGATCAAGGAGGACTGATGGATGAGTCATCTCGAGAGTGAGGTACGAGGTGGATTGTGCTCCGTCTCTGTGCTCTGTGAAACACTTGGAAAACAGAACATTTCAAAAGATCAGACAAAATAAAAATAGAAGTTCCGTTTTTTCTCCCTGCACTTTGAAACATTATCTGGGCCCACAAACTCCATTTCAGAAAACACAAACCTAGAGAAGCTAAGCTCTTGGGCTGAGGATGAAGAAAGCCTCGCACCAGCAGAAAGGAAAGACCTCGGGACCTCCCCTTCTCCATCGCAAAATGCCCTGTAGTTTCCGTTAGCCCTGCAGTGTCAGGGTCTGCAGACAGCAGAACAGCGTGGGTGTGGAGAGTGCTAACAGAGTTGTGCAGGCTCGACAAGTCCAAGTTGGACAGGGAGGACAGGCAGCTAGAGACTCAGGAAGGGGTTCAAGTGCAAGTCAGGCTGCTGGCCACAGTCCTTCTTGTTCAGGGCAATCCGTCTTCCTTCTCTTCAGGCCTTCAACCCATTGGATGAGACCCACCCAGATAATGGAGGGTAAGTTGCTTTATGGAAATCCACTAAGATTTAAGTGTTAATTGTACTATATAGAGAACACCTTCATAAAAACATCCAGAATAATATTTGGTCAACGTTCTAGGCACTACGACTCAGTCAGGTTGACACATAAAATTAACCATTTCAACTCCACGTGAGAATTTTCAACTCTAGCAGAAAATTATGGACCTGCGAAGCCCACTGAATGACACTTTGTGTGCAAGGTGTCACAGGAATTTAAAGGTGTCCGGCTGGGTAAACAGGAAAGCTCTTGGTTGAAATGCAAAGGGAGTGGGTGAGAGACAGTCTCCCGGAAGGTAACTCAGCTCGAAAATCACAGTTGAAGCATATTTGTCCTCTGACCCATAAGTGTCCCAGCTAGGAATCTCATTCAGAGATATTCAGGACAGTGTTGTGTACAGTCCAAAAACAAAATAACATTCTCATCTGTTGAGTTAGTCATTGAATAAATTTCAGTACATCTTTCAGTGGAATATTCTATCATTTTTAAAGAACTACGCACTGATACAAAGATTATTAGGATAAATTATTAAGTGGCTATGGGTGTAGATCTACCTGCATGAAACAAGAGGGCCGCACTGTGTGGTCACTACAGCAGTCTACCCTGGGCAAGGCAGACTTCGGGCTCCACTTCTGGGGTCTGAATGTACACTGTTCGTCCTTTTCCAGGACAGAGATTTCTGTCGGCACGGCCACAGCACCTGAGGTGGTGTGTAAGAGGCACCTGCCAGGAGGGGAGGGACAAGATGACAGATATTTTCCAAGCAAAGCAGAGACCTGCCAGGAAGACCACGGGGCAGGAAGGAAGACCCAGACCCACAAGGACTGCATGGATGCCGTCGGCCTCAAAGAGGGAGACTGCGGATGGTGGGGTGGCCAGGGACAGGCTGCAGAGGGCAGCTGACAGCTCAGCACAGCGAGAGCCCAGCTGCTGGCTTGGGCCAACTGGGCCTCGACAAAGCACTGAGCCTGCAGCCCCAGGAGGGCTTGCAGAGGGCCTCCTGCAGCAGTGCAGGGGCCATCACAGGACACTGGCGCTGACGTTAGTGAAGGAGTCAAGCCCTTGCAAAGGCCCCTGTGGAAGAAGAGGTGGCCCAGAGGTGGCTCTGCCGTATGAGGACAGCTCACGCTGTGAGAAGGGCTGTTGGAAGCACAGGGCCCAATGACAGCCCTTCCTTGGCTCATCCTGGGTTGCTCTAGGGTTCCGGGATCCCCGCCCTCCCCAAGACCACAGGCTGACACCAGCAGCAGCAATCACAGCAGCTCTGGGGACAGAGCTGCCGAGGGAGCAGACGCTGGCACGCCAGGCGGTCTTCCTGTGGCCTGGCACCGTCAAACGTCACAGGCCCTGTGGCCAGGGTGACCAAACAACCTGCCGTCCACATGCAGACCCTTTCATGCCTGAGAGCAGCACGGTTGGTGTCTACGCTGAGACAAGAGGCGCTACCCGCGGGCTCTTGCTCCAGGGAGGTGACTGGCATCGAGTCGTGTCTGTTTAGCGGAAAGGGGCCTCGCAGCTCCCCCAGCAGCCCCGAGCAGACAGGCCACCTGCTCACCTGCTGCGTCTCCCTGTGCCTGCTGCTGAGTGTCCTGTGGCTCCAAACCAAGGTCAATACCACAGGGAACAGGGACTTTGCCCGTCCACCCGCTCTCCTGGCCTCGCCTGTGCTCACAGCAGCTCCCCATCACGTTTTCTAACTCCCTGGTGCCCTCACCTAGCTGTTTACCAGACCAGAGCACAGTGACCTGAGTTGTGTGTCCCCAGTGAAGGCCACTTGTCCCCATGCAAGCACTCCCAGCCAAACCACACACCATCTCACACAACAATCTGGGACAGGCACGGATTGAAATTTAACCATCTCAGGGGTTTGGGTGAGCTCCTCAAAGAGGCAGTATGCCCCACTCACTGTCCTGACCGGAGCGTGGTCAGACAGGGGAAGTCGCCTCCTTGGGAACAGCCAGAGATGTTCAGGGTCACGGTGCTGGGGAGGGACCCCTGCAAGCCCTCAGCTGTGGCCTCCTTGGTCAAGCAGATGTGGGGAACTTCCCAAGGTCATGCAGCAAGGCCAGCACGCTGGTGCTCCCAGCGTTCCTGCACCCAGAGAAGTCAGAATGAGGCAGGTGAGTAGCTCTGCAGGCGCCCCAGGTGCTGCTGGAAGTCTGTAGAGTTGCAGGAAAGTTTACAAAGTGAGAGCGTCCCAAGCAAGCCAGCTTGGATTGAGATTTCTGCGGTCTCTTTTGCATTTGATGACCCTGAGTAGGTCATTTACCCTCCATTTCCTGGGTCAGCAGGAGGATGTGCTGCTGGGAACAAGGGGTCCTCAGTGCTCTCGACCTTGGATGGGCCCTTCCTCTTTCTGGTCTTACTTAGATGCTGCGTCCACGGCTGTAGGTTCTGTTCTAACTCCAGCATCTCACTTGCTCCTGCAAGAGAAGGCGGGGCTCCTGGGCAGACCCACTGGAGATGGCACCAGTGACACTTCGGGGGGCTGACCCACAGCCCTGAGCCCCAGTGTCCGCGCCCGTAAAACAGGCATGCCTAGATGCTGTGTCCCAGGCACAGGGGCACCACGAGTGTGTGAAAACCTGGTTCACACCAGACTCCGGGTGGACATTCCAGCCTCTCCAGAGGAGGGACACCAACTGATGGTGCCCTGGAGGGACACCAACCTGATGTTGGACCCCATCTGGAAACCACAGGGGCCCCTGGGCTCTGCACTGGCCCTGCTGGGAGGCAGCTTTGGCCTGCGGTGGGGGCACTTGGCCTGAGGGGGCACGCCATCCCTGGGCACTCCTGGTCCAACTGCAGGAGGACTCTGGTCAGTAGCTGCTCTCAGGGGCTCCCAGGAGTCAGCATGGAGAGGAGAGCCGCGTCTGCACCCCACACAGAAGGGTCTGGAGCAAAAACCTCATTACCCCCCTGTCCCTTCAGCAACAGGGACATTCCACATGGGGTCCCTAGAGTAGTAGCATCACCTGGGCCCCGCCCCAGACCTGCCTCTAAGGTCTCACCAGGGAAGGGAAGACACTAATGCAGAATGTGGATCTCCCGGGGCCTCTCAACACTGATTCCCAGAGGTGACTTCCACGAACAGCTTTGGGCCAGCCTGGGACACTGCTCCTCACCCACAGAAGTGTGATTGCAGGTGCTGGAGGCTGTTCAAAATACACTTGCCTGAAGTGTAGACACCTTCAAACCTATCCTCCCTTCTCTTCTTAGTATACCCCTCAATAGCACCAGAACACCAGATCAGAATGCTGGCCCTATCACCTTGTAGCTGTGTGCCCCTGGGCAAGCATCCTAACCTCTCTGAGCCTGAGGTTTGTCACCTGTAAAAGGTAGTTCATAACAGCTTTCACCGCACAACGTTGTTGGAAGAACGAAGTGAGGCGCTTCCTGGGAAGGCATGGGGCAGTGCTTGGCCAAGCGACTACCTGCTGGAGGGCATGCAGCTGTCGGGCGTCGCCGCCATTGTAACCCGGCTTTGCACACTGGTGCTGGAGAGAGCGGCACTCTGTCAGTTCTGCTGTGTCCCCACACTGCTCCTGGTGAAGCCACAGGCTCTGCCCTGGGAGAGCAGCCAAGGGCTGGACGGCCAAAGAACACGGTCCTCCAGGTTGGAGTTTTTATTTTTTGGTATCACGCAGAACATTTCATGGGGTGGGTGTGGTTTGTGACTAAAAGTGATTAAAAAGCACTGTCGATGTGGCCTTGAGAGGAAATTCAGAATGGGGAGAAATGGCGTTAGGGTCGTCTTGTGTGGCGTGTGTGCAGGGCCACCTCTTAGCCATGTGCCAGTCCTGTCTGGGACCAGTGACGCTGTGCTGTAGCCTGCCACGGTGGAGAGTCTGCGTGGTGTGACTGGCCAACGCGACCTGTCAAAGGTCTGGTCCCTGGGAGGGCAGGGTTCAGCCCCTGCCCCGCCCCGCGCAGGCCTCGCCAGGCACCGTATGAGCACTGTTTGGGCTGTGCCTTCTGGGCTGGACTCCCAGGTCTGCTGGCTGGCCGGGTGCCCTCCGTGTCCAGTGTGCTTGACGGGTCCCTGCTCCTGGCCAGCAGCCGCCTGAGCCCGTCTTCTGGAGGCGGGGACAGTGGTCAGCAGCAAGTCCCACCCTGCACACACACTGGGTCAGGCCTGCTAACATCTCGTGTGTCCCAGCAGGTCACCCACTGACCCAGCCCAGTGGCAGTGGGGTGGGCAAGTGCTCCTTCCAGGAAGGCTCGGGAGACGGGAATGAAGCGTGCTAACCGGAGTCCACCTGGACATGAGGTGCTGAGGGAACAGGAGCAAACACCGGGCCCCTGGACAGGGGCCTTGGCTTCGGCCGACCGTGCCGCCCTGTGGGAGGCGCTCTGTGTGGGCGTTAGGTGACAGAGCTTTATTGCATCCCTTCCTGTCTGGGGCCTGCCGCGGGCCCTGAGGCTGGCCTGCCTGCAGTGCTGGCCCTGGCGACACAGGCCTGGGTCAGTGCTTGAAGCCCGTTGGGTGTTCCCGTGTGGCCGCCCCGGCAGGCGTGGAGGGTGCCATGCCTCTCCCGGGCAGCAGGCTCTGGGCCAGCACAGCCATCTCCTGTTGGTGGCCTGTGTGTGCAGACGGCATCTGTCTTCGCGTCAGGAGTTCTGGGCTCCCCACGCCTGAGGGCCTCCTGTGCGTGTTTGGCTGGTCTGGACGGGGCTGCCTGGCCTGCTGACTGCCCGCTGCCTGCCGAAGTCGCTGGGATGCAGCAGAGGCTGGCGGGTGGGCTGCGCTGAGTCTCGCCCCCCAGCAGGTGTGGTCAGGACGTGGGCTGCGCTGACGGCTCTTTGGAGAGTGGGGACATGGAAGACCAGGACTGCTGGTGTTGCTCTGTATCAGAATGGAAGCCAGAAGGGAGGCTACCGACAGGGTCCCTGTGGCTGCTACACAGTCCCATTATCTGCCACAGGAGCCCCTGTGGATGTATCTGCCAACCACAGGCCTGGCCACAGCCTTGGCCGCTTTCTGTGGCCTGCAACGTCTCTGCAGGGCGTGAGGCAAGAGCAGGGGCAAGTGTGTATCCATACCTGATGCAGGGCGTCCCAGTGCACGCTGTCTTAGCCGACCTCGGTAGGCCTGTTGCAGAGGTGCACCCCAACACACTGTAATCCTGGTCCCCACACCCCAGAACATGGCATCTGGGGAGTGCTGACCGGGGGGCAGGCAGAGCCGGCCCGGGGCCCAGTGTCTCTGTCTTGCACGTTTAAAGCATTTAAAACGGCACTTGGACACTGGAGGCTTTGCATGAATTCTGCATTTTTATCTTCTCTTGGAAGAGCCAAAGGACTGTAGAAGGACTCTCACTGCCCAGGCAGAGAGCCACTGCCCACTGGGTGCACTCTGCACGTCCCACCGTCCCCACCTCTCCCAGCTGCCTCCCCGCGAGGGTGAGGGTCACTGATCACACCTCTTCATTTACAGAATTTCCTTGAAATAGGGCCCCTCAGGAGGAAAACAGGCACAGGGTTCTCATGGTGGAACTTCAGGTCTTGGGAGAGTGGGGACAGGGTGGGTGGCTTCCACTGCCAGCCACCAAGAGCTGGCAAGCCAAGGCAGCCATTCAGCAGGGACGCGAGAAGCCTGGGTCTCAGTCGGGGCTAGACCCCTGGTCTGTAAAGGGCAGGTGGCCAACCACGTCAGGGCTTTCCACCCAGCACTAGAGCGTCAGAGGCCATATAAACACGGGCATATGAGGGGCAGAGGGCCTGCTCACGCTCTGGTTAGAGACACCATGGTTGCCATGCACGTCACCTGGGGTGGGAAGGGAAGGAAGACTGGAACATAAAGCAGAAAACCCACCGACCGTCACCACCGCCATTTCCCACGAGAAGGACTTTTCTGTTTTATTTACTCATTTATTTTTGTGGTGCTGGGGACTAAGTCCAGGGCCTTGTGCAGGCAGAGCAAGCAGTCCACCACCGGAGCTACATCCCTAGCCCCCAAGAGGGACTTTCAACACCAAAGTAGAAAAGATACAATCTCAGAATAAATACTCTCTGTTTCTACAATCTTTACGTCTAATTTAGAAAAGTGTGATGTGTTCTACTGGCCTCTGATGCTTACTTGTTAAACAGCACCTCCTAAAAACAGTTCATCAAAAAAGAACAAAACACAGCGCTAGCCATTAGACTCTCAGGGTGGGAGACATGGTCCCAGTAGGACTATAATTCTTAATTCTTAGTTTTCTAGAATTTTTCTGAAGATGCCCTTTGACCCTCAACTCTGTGGGTAGGAGTTTATAGGAAAGAAAATAATCCAGATGAGTGTACAGAGAACTAAGACAAACTTCATTACAGCTGTTTAAATTTATGAAAAGTTGGGGAAATTCTAAATATCATCACTAAAGAATCCGGTTTAAAAATCATGGCATAGCCAGGTATGGCAGCAGCTCAGAAGGCAGAGACAGGAGGATCCCAAGTTCAAGGCCAGCCTCGGCGCTTAGCAAGGGCCTAAGCAGTGTGTAGTGCGAGTGCACCACTAAAAAGTAATCCCTGGGCTGGGGTGGCTCTGTGTTTAGCGCTTGCCCTGGGTTCATCCCCAGCTCTGAAAATAAAAAACAACAAAAACCCAAATCGCACCGTTGATATCTCACCATCAGATGAGCTCTTGGTGCTTACCAGATGACATGCAGAGTAGGATTCTCATTCATTTTGTTCATTTTTTTTAAAACGGGGGGGGGGGGGGGGGGGGCGCTGCGGCTGTGGCTCAGTGGTGAGCACTTGCCCAGCATGTGTGAGGCACGGGGTTGGATCCTCAGCACCCCATAAAAATAAATAAGTAAATAAAGGTATTCTGTCCACCTACAACTTAAAAAAAACCTCGCTATGAGGGCATTTCCCAGAAAGCAGCCTGGGCCCTTCCACTGGGGGAGCAGCCCTGAGCAGCTTATTTTTCTCCTACAAACCTTTCTGTGTTTTCTGAAATATTCTTTTTATTTTTTTAGTTGTTGATGGACCTTTATTTTATTGGCTTGCTTACATGTGGTGCTGGGAATGGAACGGAGTGCCTCACGCGGACGAGGCAAGCGCTCTGCCACCGAGCTACACCCCCAGCCCCTCTGAAATATTCCTGATCCTGGATCTTCCTTTAAAATCAAGCTCAAGACAGTTGGAGGTGGACCTGGAGTGAGGGGCAACTCTGCTGAGCTCCTGAGGCTACTCCTGTGTGTGGCGTACCTCCTGTGACCCTTCCCACAGGACAGGGCCCGATGCACTGTGTGGCCTGCCCTCCCCAGGCCCCTGCTGGGCTCCCTGTGGCCACACTCTGGACAGTGCACACAGGTGGAGGCCCTCCGAGCACATGCAGGCAGTCTCCACTCTGGGCAGGAAGGAGGTTCCAAGTCTCCGGGTCCAGAGCGCCTGAGTGAAGGGCCCTGGGAAGGCACATAGGCTTAGCAGCAGGGTGGCCTGGGGACTTCCAGGCTCCCTGCTGGGCCGGCTTTCCCCTGCGCAGGCCCTGGGCTGTGTCCGCCATCTCCATCCAGTGGCTCAGTCAGGGTCTCTCTCCCTGTGTCCCTAGGCCAGGTCTCCAAGTCAGGGGGCACCAGGCAATCTCCCATCAACATCCAGCGGAGGGACAGTGTCTACGACCCCCATCTGCAGCCGCTCAGAGTGTCCTATGACCCCGCGTCCTGTCGCTGCATCTGGAACACGGGCTACTTCTTCCAGGTGGAGTTTGACGATGCTGCTGAGCAGTCAGGTGAGTCTGTCTGGCTGGGGATCTGTCTCCTCTTCTGTTGCACCATGAGTGGGGTCACAAGCTTAGGAAGGGGGGACGAGAGCAGTACCCTACCTTCCTGACACTGTGTCGGCAGGGAACGGGAGGCCCAGGAAGACTGAGGGAAGGGGCCGGGGACAGGGAGATGATCTCTCTTGAGGAGGAGAGGCCCCTTCACCTGCCCAAACGCAGGTTCCAGGGGCACAGCCTTGCTGAGGTGGAGCAGCTCCCTCCAGGCTGGGCACAGGTCAGAGCCAGACGGCCTGGTGGCACACTGCGGGTGCCATTTCTCAGGTGAAGCTGCTGAGCGCAGAGCTGGGAAGCTGAGACCCCCAGCCGCCAGCCAAGGCCAGATGGCTCCGCCCACAGCACCCTGAAACCCCAGCAGCCTCTGGGCTCCTTTTTGCTCTGTGCATGAGGAAGTCCCACATTAATGACGGCTCTTTCCTATTGCAAGTGGCAGACACACGACTCCAACTGGCTTAAGCAAAGAGGGAAATTCGTTGCGTCCCCAGGACAGGACCAAGCCCAGGGTGTGTAGCCACGCAGCCTGCATCTCAGCGCCCTCTCTGGGCCCTGCTCTCCCTGGTGGACTCGGGCTGCCTTGGGCTGGGCCATGACTTTCCTGAGGGTGGCAAAGGTGAAAGTTCAACCTCCCGCAGAGCAAAGCAGCAAAGACCCCTCCCAGCCTCCGCCACCGGCCTGGGCTGAGCCGATCACAGTGACCCTGGCTAGCCGGGGGACGACCCAGCCCTGGAGCAAGCTGTGGCCAAGAGCGGAGGCAGGTGACTCCCCTCAGGACCGCAGGAGTGAACAGAGTAAGAAGGAGGTCCCTGGGACCTCCCGTGACCTCCCGTGACCAGAGCGCCCCTGCTGTTAGTGCTGTTAGGCCGCAGCCACTGTGTAGCTGCTCCTGTCTGTGTAAAATGGGCCCCAGCAAGCGTCCAGGACCCCTGCTAAGTGCTGACCCACTGTGGCCAACTGCTGCCCCGATGGGAGACCAAGTCCACGCTGCGTGGTTTCCTCCCGCCAGCCACTAGGGACCTTGAGCACTCCTTTCTCAGTCCCCAAAGCACTCACAGTGGAGGCCACGGCTCTCTACCAGCAGGCCTGGGGACAATGTTCTCCACCGGCACAGTGCCAAGGGTACTCAAGAGCTCAGCTACTCGACACTCAGGCTTGGAACAGAGCATGCGTCACTGGGGGACCTGGCTCCAAAGTGGGAGCTGTTGCTGCCGTCCCCGGAGACTGGCTCCACAGCCCAGGGCAGACATGGGTGGTCCTTACGCGTGACCTGTCCACTTTGTGCAGAGTCAACATCCAGCGCCTGAGGCTCCCGTTGCTTGGCCACCACAGGCTCCTTCTTGCCCCCCAGCCCTACCTCCTGAGTGTCCTCTGCACAGACCCCACGTCCAGCCCCATGGAACGTCCATCTGTCTCTGCGACCTGCTCTCCTTCCACCTGTTGTCCTCTCTGCCTAGCACCGTCTCCTGGACCAGGCTCACAGTGGAGGAGCCGGGTGAGCCTCCAGACCCAGTCCTGACACTGGGCCGCAGTGTGCTTACTACAGAAAGCCACAGAACAGGGATTTCCAGTCTTTAAATAAACACCCTTGCCATTGGCTGGCGCTGTCTTTGCCAGTGAGTTCCAACTTTGGAAACATTGTCACAGTGAGAATCTTCTGTTCCAACTTGAACACGCCCTAGCTGTTGGCCCCTCCCTGGCCTGGCCACCCCTCCCTGGCCGCCCCTCCCTGGCTTTAGCTGCAGAGGCTCCTTCTGGCCTTCTCCAGCAAGGGCTGTGCTTCTGCTCCCGCCCTTTCTCCTGGAAGGCCCCCCCCATTCCCGGTCCGTTTCCACCTGTGTGCCACCAGGGGGCGCTCCAGCCCAGCCCCAGACCCAGGAACCCTCCTGGCAGGGCTGGCGCAGGTGTCTCCCCTGTTTTTATTTAATTACGCAGCAGTTTTTGTTGTTGTTCTGTTTTGCTTTTTGGTGTGTGTGCGAGCTGGCTGGCTCTCCAGCCCGGGGTAACCATGGTTTCCATCAAGACCTTTGTTTCCATGCAAGTGAGCAGACGCCGCCCGTCTGCAGAACAGGCCCGTTAAGGAGGAACATTCTGGCTTGCCATGGGAAGGTGCCCAGGATCCCAAAGGACAGACTCTAACTGAAAGTTTCTTACTTAAGTGGGTGTTGTGTTTTGCTGCTGGTGAGGCGTTTCTGTGAAGCGTTCTGGGCAGCGGGGCCTCGGGGAAGAGTGCTCACCAATCCAGGCCCCGCGGCGTCCTGCTGCAGGGGCCAGAGCCAGCCTTCTGGGGTCCAGCCTGACCTGCAGGGCTTCGCGTCCCTGAGGAGAGCAGGGCTCGGCAGTCGCCCGCGCCTCCCTGTCTCTGGGCTCTGCTGCTGCTCTCCGCTGCTCGGCAGGTCTAGGTGACTCCCGTTTCTCCTAACCCAGCTGCAGGCAGGAGGGCCGGGCGCCTTTGCGGGTAAGCCCTGCTGGCGGAAGTCCAGCCGCGTCCAGCTGGTGCAGGACATCATTCCTTAGGGAGACCTGCTCCTGTGCCTGCCCAGGGTCCTAGGATGTGTGAGCTGCAGGGGACAACGAGCAACAGCTGGCAGCTCTTTTTTAAAAATAGTGAAGGAGTTGAAGTCCTGAAACTCTCTGTGATGTGTGATCACCACCAGCGTCGTCACCATCACCTGACAGCATCTCACAAAGTGACAGTATCTCCGTTTTCCTGCCTGCAGGCCTCCTTTTAGAGGTAGAGATGCTCTGGCTCAGAGAAGCGAAGCCACCTGCCCAAGATTACACAGCGAGTTGGAGGCAAAGCCAACTTGCCAATCCAGTCTTTGAGTACTTGTAGTGTCCGGTGGATTTTTCTAGAAATCCTAGACAGTTCCCAAGCTGCCAGAAGAAAGGCAAAATCCCACTGTGACACACAGACCTGCTTATCCAGTGGCTGAGTGACTGGACAAACAAGTCAATGAACTGACCAATCCCTTCCTTCACCTGCTGGGGTCCACGGGCACCTTCAAGGACCCTTCCTTGAACTAAGTGCTGAACCCGGTGGAAAGAGAAATGGGCCTTGCCCTGAGGTATGACAGGGTGACCCTTGGCTGGGCCTGGTCAGCTGCATCCACCAGATTGCATCCCGTCCAGCTGTCCAGGGTGTCAGTGTAGAGACGACGCCGTCGGGCGTGGCTGTCCCCGTGGTCCCTCCAGCTCGCCCCTCTGTGGCTCACAGGTGCATCTGGTGCTCTGAGGATCCTGGGGTGGCCAGGACTGCTATCCCTCCCAGGGGGCTCTCCTGGCCTGGCAGAATTGGCAAGCCGCTGCGCCCACACCCCATGCCTTCTGCTGTGAGTACTTCCTGTGAGGACAGATGCACTGGGTGCTCCGTGGCATCCTTCACCCAGGGACATTCCCCTGTGCTGGCCACTCCGGGACCTGACAGCAGCCAGGCCCGGGAGGGCCATGCAGAGCACACTGTGCAGCGGGTGAAGCCGGGCCCCGCGAGCGCCTGAGCCACTCCCCAGCTCTGCAGCCAGTACCGCGCAGTGGCCGGCCCTGGGCACCCGGCACTCCTTCCGGCCGAAAAAGACAAGCCCCGACTGTCTCCACATGAGCAGCAACTGAGGGTTGAACCACAGGCATCACGTCATCCGGAGTCTGCTGAAGTGCAGACCCAGCCCTGCCCTGGACTGTGGAGCCAGCTCCCCCAGGGATGCCGGCTGTGTTCTGGGCCTGGGCGTCAAGCTAGCCGAGCTCTTGAGGAGGCCACGCTTGGCACTGTGCCGCTGGAGAACAGTGCTCCCGGGCCTGCTGGTAAGAGCCGTGGCCTCCACAGCGAGTGTCTCAGGTGACTTAGAAAGGAGTGCTCGTGTAGCCTGGTTCAGCGGTGGGCCTGGACTAAACAGAGCTGTGTGGGATCGGGATTGGTGAGCAGGTGGCATGTTGATCCCCAGAACGTGTTCCCGGAAAGGCCTTGCTCCCTGTGTGTTGTGTTATTGAGTTACTTGGTGATAGGACTTAAACCTCCTTTTTAATTCAAGAAAATCCCAGAAACTCATGGGACAGGTGTGCCTCTCGGGTGCCTCTGCCCTGGGCAGGAGCTGAGGCCCTCACTGCTCCCTGCAGGCCACGTGCGGTGCCTGCATGCATTCAAGCGTTTTCTGAAAACAGGGTCAGCCTGCGCGGGCGAGGTGGTGAGCAGAGGGGACCAGAAAGAGGAAACCCTGCCCTTCAGCTTGTCCCTTCAGCAAGGCACCAAGCTCCAGAGCGCACTTGTACCAGATGCAGATGGTGCCGCAGCACCGCCGTAGCCCGAGGGGAACTCAGAGTCACAGACTGCCCTTTCATTCGCAGGGATCAGCGGGGGGCCTTTGGAAAACCACTACAGACTGAGGCAGTTCCACTTCCACTGGGGAGCAGTGGACGAGCGGGGCTCGGAGCACACGGTGGACGGCCACACATACCCGGCAGAGGTTCGTAGGTGACGTGGGCCAGGCAGCGCGAGTCCCGGTGTTTTCCATGTGCCAGGCTCTCCTGCAGATGCCAGCCATCCCAGATGCCCAGATGTGAGGCACTTCCTGGGACCCAGGACTTTCAGTGCCCCGGGCAGAGCAGTTAGCACCCCACCACCCACTTTATCACACCATTGTCCAAAGAGGAGGGTGATGCAGGCATGCTCAGTTAGCAGAAGAAGAGACAGAGGGTCTGAATGGTGATGATCATGCATCGCAGTGGAGTGGTCAGTGGTGACTTTCAGACACAGAAAGAACTGGACCAGCATCCATGAGGCTGCCATCTCCACCCTGTGAGTACCACACTGCCTTGTCCACTGGTCACCACTGTCCCCACGGAACCCTGAATCTGTGTGCCTCCCAAGTGACGGGTTGGTTGGGTTCATCTTGTCCCACGGTGCCCACGGGGGATGAGCTCTGCCTGCTGTCACCTCTGCTCTTGCACACAGAGGCACCTGCAGGGTGGGCTGTGGCTCCTCCTGCCCTGAGTGTTCCTTTCAGGTAGTGGCTGTGTGTCTGCCACTTGTTCCCAGGGAGGTCATTGCCATCGACTGCCAGGGTAACAAATGAGAGCAGGGGACCCACCGGGGCTGTCTCTGAGTCAGGCTGGGCCTGGTCCCTGCTGGCCGTCTCTGGGGTGTGGAGGTCAGGTGGGAAGGCAAACCTGGCTGCAAAGAGGGGGTATGAAGGGAAATGACTCAGGGGGGCCCGCGGGCAGCATTAGACACACCCTGGACCCCAGGGGCACGTGGCCAGGCAACTGGCTCCTGCTGGGAGTGAGGTCTGCGAAGAGCGCCTGGGCCCAGTGCCTCGGCAGAGTGCAGTGCTGGCCAGAGAGGGCTCCTCAGCGTCCAGGAGCCCGGGGACTCGTGGCCTGGGCCACCTCTAAGCCAGGCACTTAGCAGAAACACGAACATTTGTCCCTGGGTCCTGCAGGGCACTGGCCCCAGCACCCTGGGGTACCAACCCGCCGGTGCTCGAGCCCATCATGTGCCTGGTGGTGCGTGTGCACAGGACTCATCCCGTCCTGTAGGCTCTAGGCCATCTGCAGGCCACCTGCTACCCAGCACCAGAGTTCTGCTCCTTCAGCCCAGACACAGCGTCTTGACCCAATGTCTTTAATCTGTGGTGGTCTGAATCCCCCAGAGTAGCACCCAAGGCAGAGGGCCAGCTGCACAGAGGCCCAGGCCCCTCCTGGGGGAGCCACACCATCCCCTGGACACTGGCCAACCTTCCACTCCCGTGAGGGACCCCTCCCCAGCTCACCCCCGGCCTCCAGGCAAACCCGTCTCATCGGCCAACTCTGGCATGGAGTCCAGCAGACGTCCCCCACCCCAGATCCATCTTCCTACATCAGAAACTGAAGGAGTGTTAAAGCCACGGGCGAAGTTCAGGGCTGGGCTCCAGGGTCAGGAGGGGCAGCATCTGGGACCCACTTGCCCCACTGCAGTCCTGGGCTGTGTCTGGCGTAATCCCGTGGCCCTCTTCTTCCTGGTAGTCACAGTGGCCTCCCCCTTGCCCCGGGCCTGTGGCCTTGCCAAGTGCCTGGGAGCCCCAGGGTGCTGGCCTTCTGCGCGCCGGGCGGCCATAACACGATTCACTCACGTGATGGAGTGGCCCCTGTGTCGGCCCCATGGAGGCCGAGCGCCTGGTGTTCACACCCGGCCGCTGTGTTTCAGCTGCACCTGGTTCACTGGAACGCTGCGAAGTACCCGGCTTACGAGGAAGCCGTCCTGGGGGAGAAGGGCCTGGCCGTGCTGGCCGTGTTCCTGCAGGTAAGGGCGCCCGCAGGGCTGCAGCACCCCCGGGCGGCCCCTCTCACTGCCCCGCACAGAGGCGTGTTCTCAGCCCCCTCCCCGCTCACGTCTGTGCCTGTGCCCTGCAGGTGGGGGCCCGCCACGAGGCCCTGCAGAGGCTGGTGGACGTCTTGCCAGAAATAAAGCACAAGGTGAGCTCCGAGTCTGGGGAGCAGCTAGTGGACGGGCAGACCGTTCAGAGGCGCCCCCTGGGCAGGGAGAGTGCAGTGGCAGGGGCGTCGAGGAGGGCATGGGGCACCAGCGCTGTGCTGGGACTGGGGTGGGGTTCCCCATAGGTCCTGCCTGGCCCGGGAGGCCACCTCTCCCCTCAGGGACTCCAGACCCCGTTCTTCCTCAGCTCGTCTGCTGGGGTCGACTCGGGTGTCCCGGGATCAGGCAGCTTTCTGAGGGTCGGACACTCCTGCCTGCCCGCGGGACTGCTCTTATCATCACTGATTTGCTTTTAAAAATCTTTAGCTTGGTCCAAGGCGATGACATTTACTGGTCATAAAGTTCCTTCTAAAGCAAATCAGAACCTCAGTCTTGACCCGTGTGCCACCGGGCGTGCTCTGGGAAGGTCTTAATTCACATCACCCCTGTCCTGGAGAACGTGGAGCCCAGAGAGGGAAGGGAAGCTGTCGTGTGGCCAGTGCCCGGTGGCCCGGCTGGTCCTGCCTGTCCCTACAGCCGACCTTTGCACACCTTAGTCACTGGCATGGCTCAGAAAGGTGACAAGGAGAACAATGTCGCTTTTCTCCAAGGTCAGCCCAGAGGGGACTTTGATGGAGAGGTGGAAATTCTAAAGAAAAGGGTTTATTTATTCAGTACTGAACAAAAGAGTCCCCAGGAGGAAGGAGCCAAGGTGGCCGCGGGAGGGGCGGGCTCTTCCCCCAGGGCCCAGTGGCTGCACTTGAAAGCCAGGCAGCCCTTCCTGGCCAGCCAGAAGGCTTTGATCTCCCACCTCCTCCCCTTGGTGCCGACCTCCAAGCGGTCACCCCCACTGCGCTTCCCCGCTCAGAGGGCCTCAAGGCCAAGGTGCCAGGCCCCTGCCAGAATAAACCTGGGGTGCGGATGTTTCCCAACCAGCCCCCGACCCGGCAGGGTGGGCTCCACCTCTTGGTGGGAAGAAAGCTGGCGGCTCAGCCGTGTTTACGGGGGTCTGATTTCCTCCCCTGGGTCTGCAGGGCTCTTCCCCGTGAGCGCACACAGAACGTTCTGGGCAAACCCCCAGGGAGACCTGGGTTGGGGACGATCGAGAAGTGCTGCCAGGGCTTGGTTCTGGTTCCCACGCTGATCACGGGGCCACAGTCTCCCCGTGAAAAATAAGGCCGAGACCCCAGAGATGAGGGGACCAGCCTTGGAGGGCCTCAAGGTCAGGGGATGGGGGCACCTGAAGGTCACCTGGCCCAGCTTTCCCGTCTGCCAGCCTCGACTTCCGGGCGTTCCCACAGCAGAACAGTGTGAGCCGCGGGGCTCAGGGCAGTACTCAGCCTCTCAGAGCCTGGATGCCCCTCTGTGGAGACACAGCAGGGGGCACACCGGGGGGGAGGGGAGGGCAGACCCACACCTGCACACCTGCTGCGTGAGGCCTGGAGTCCCCTTTGTCACCACAGTGCTTTCCCTTAGCTACCCCAGCGTCTGCCCTGGGAGAGTCCTGGAGACCGCAGCCTGGAGACAGACACTGGAGGGCAGCTCTGACTCCCTGCCGTTGGGCGGTGGTAGGAGTGGCTCTGGGCCAGGTGGCTGGCTGTGCCACTCACCCTGGGCACCTGGTGAGCCCCTCCCCAGGGAGGCCACCTGAAGCAGCCCGCTCCTCCCCTGGGGTTCCAAGCTCAGGAGACCCATCACTTGGCACCACTCCTCCAGGCCGGCTGCCCTGAGCCACACCGGAGCTGGGAGACCAGCGGCAGGGACCCCTCCCGGGCCTCCTGAGCACGGCCGCTCAGGGCACCCACTTCTGCAGGGTGCTGCGGCTCAGGGGCACAGCTTCAAGAAGGGGCCAGGCGGACTCACGTCTCTTCCACGCCTTGGCCTCCACGGCCACCCCACGTCACTTCTGTGACGCCCTGCCCACCACCCAGCCACAGGAACCTGCCTGGGCTCAAGGGGGAGACAGCACCTCCAAATTTTGCTGGAGGGAAATGACAGCACTCTACATGGGTCTCATCTTCAGTCTCTCCAATGGCCCCGTGGTCCTTCCTCTGGGTTAGGACTGTCACCTCTTGGGGAACCAGAGCTCAGTGAGGCGAGGAACCTGCCCTGGGGCACACAGCCAGTAGGTGGGGACAGTTCATCGAGGGCAGTGCCACCTGCATCACAGCACCAGCGCCCTCCGCCCCCGCCCTTTGCTCCTGCCCCGAGTTTTGCCTCTTCTCCCCAATGTCATGCCCTCTGGCTGAGTCCTGTGGACTCCGTGTGGGACGCTCATCCTCGGAAAGTAGAACAGCAGCTTACGGACCAGGACAGTGGTGTTACCGCCGTTGACCGGTGACCAGGCCAGGTCAGAGTGGAAAACAAAGGTTTATTAAAGGACAGTAGAAGACTTTCCCGGAGGAAGAAGGGGTTCCAAGAGAGGGAATCCGTGGAAGTGCGGCTGTCTCCCCATTTTATAGTTCCTTCGGTGATGGGGTGTAGGTGGGAAGGCCCGAGGGGTGGGGCACAGGTGGGCCAAAGAAGTCATCTGGGCAGGAAGGACTCCGAGTCAGCATCGTCAAGTCTGCTGGGAGCCGTTTCATCCTCACTTCTTTGGGATGGGCTCTGGGCCTTGGGGACATTACCATTCCAGGAGTTGTCCTGCAATTCCCGGACTTCATTAACATTCCAGGAATTGTTCGGCTTTTCCGGGAATTCATTCTCAGCATGGCCTCCATTTTGGATCTCACTCGATATCAGGCCCGATTTACCTAACTACACTGACTGCCTAACTTTAAATCTGGCTTCAGTGGGACCCTGGAGTAGACGCCTTCACCCATGGCCACCCCACACACCGGGCGCCCCAGTGTCGCCTTCTGGCCAAGCGCCTTGAGGTCCTTGAGGAAGGGCCTTGACGTGGGGGGGGTCATCTGCAATGGAACATGACCAGAGCATTCACACCTGCACACACAGCGTGACCAGCCCCGAGGACACGTGCAGGGGCAGAAGGCCACACGCCGAGACCCCACACATCTAAGACCCCCAGCACCAGCAACCCTGGAGCTGGAAAGCAGACCGGCACCCCGGTGAGGGGTCCTCTGTGGTGAGAAGACCAAGATGTGGGGTCCCACACCGCAGTGTTCAGGCACGAGCAGGAGAGCGGCCCCTACTTCAGTGTGGGTGACACAGGGGACGTTAGCTCAGGGGCATCGCCGGCACAACCCCCCGAGCGCAGCCTCCACTCAGTGAGGCACACCGAGTGGACGTCACCAGCCAGCAAGGGGCACGGGAGACGCCAGGGCTCCCGTGGGGAGCTGGTGGGTGGGATGGCCTTGGGTGTGGAGGGTGGCATAGTCCCAGAGCCCAAGATGGCCGCACAGCGGGAACACGCGGGTGCCCTGCTGCATTGGTAAAAGCGGCTGGGGACCAGCGTGTCCCCGTATTTCATCACAGTAGAGCAGTGTGAGCTTTCCACGGCCAGAGCTCGGGAAGGAGCGCTCCCAGGGAAGTCATGAGTCCTGGGTGGAAACCTCTGTCCCTGCTTCAGAACCAGGCAGTGGCAGCTGCCTAGAGTGGCCTGTTCGGGAAGCACCTCCCCGACGGAGGGCGGCCGCCCCACTCCCTCCCGCTCCAGCACTGACACCAGGGCCCCTGGTTCTTGCTCCCAGGACATGCGGGCGGCCATGGGCCCCTTCAACCCCTCCTGTCTGCTGCCTGCCTGCCAGGACTACTGGACCTACTCGGGCTCCCTCACCACCCCGCCCCTGGCAGAGTCCGTCACCTGGATCATCCAGAAGCAGCCCGTCCAGGTGGCTGCCAGCCAGGTGAGTGGGCTGGGACCCCGTCGTGGCCTGTGTGGGGGTCTCCTCACCCTGGAGCTCGCCCTCGGGCACCACTGATGTCCCTGCCCCGCCCTGACTGGGAGGAATCCCAGCGTGTGGGCTGATGGAGAAGGAGCCGGACTCTGCCTGTCACAGGTCTCCTGACACTGAGCTGCTGGGGTTAGGGTTAGGGTTAGGGTTGGGGCGGGGGAGACAGCTGGATCTTCGCAGTCCCTGAGCCCAGTGTTTGCCCAGGACCTGCTCACGTCCCCAATATGCCCCAAGTCATCCCTCGGTTACTTTTAATACTTAACACGATGTGAGTGTCATGTAAATGGTTTTCTTGTTTGGGGATAAGGTACAGAGGAAATCTCTGTGCATGTTCAGTACAGACAGAATTCTTTTTGGGGGTAGTAGTTTTAACTTCTGCATGGGTTGAATCCGAGGATGCAGAACCCACAGATGTGGAGGAATGGCAGTGTGTGCTAGTCACCTTTGACTGTGTAACAAAGAGCTCCAAACTTAATCACTGATAGTGGCTATGTATTTTCTCTCAAAGTTTCTTAGGAAACTTAGGGCTTAGGAACTGGCTGGTCCTTGCTTGCAGTCCCTGTGGGGTTACGGTGCCCTGAGCAGGAACTGCCCCATCCTGACGGCTCGGTGGGGGCTGGAGGACTCATGCCCGGGTGCTGGCACGAGGCTGCTGGCTGTTGGATGGAGGCCTTACTTCCTGTCCTTGTGGCTGTCCACGGGGCTTTTGAGTTTTCCTATGGTAGATGGTTTCCTCCAGAGCAAGTGGCCTTAAAGACCAAGGTGCCAATCATGATGCCCTCTAAGACCTTGCCTTGGGAGCCGCCTGGCATCACGTCCAGTGTCCTCTACACAGGGCCATCCCTGATCTGGCCTAGGAGGGGCCTGTGCAAGATGTGAGGGCCCCAGGGGCAGGATGGCTCCCTGCACTCTCCTTCGCTCTCTTCCAGGTCTCGGCCTTCCGGGAGCTCCTGTTCTCCCCGCTTGGTGAAGAGGAGGAGTTCATGGTGGACAACTGTCGCCCACGCCAGCCCCTGATGGGCCGGAGGGTCCGCTCGTCCTTCAGGCCACTCAAGTGGGGATGAGGTCCTAGAACCGTCATGTCCACAGAGTAGGCAGCGCGGACCTTGCAAGGGTTCCCACTCTGGTGACTGTGCTTCTCGGATTAAAAGAGGAAGAGCGTGGTTCCCCTGACGTGCTTCCAAGTTGCAAGGGAAAGAAATCACTAAGGACTCCTCAGGGCACAGGGAACAGATGCTGAATGTCCTTGTCTTGTGGGAACCAGGGCAGGCAAGTAGAAGGTGGTCCCCGGGGCCAGCAGCCACCAGGGCCAAGGCTGCCCACTCGCCTCTCTCAGCTACACT